TGAGAGATGAAACTGAGATATGAAAATGAGAGATGAAAATGAGAGAAGAGAGATGAAAATGAGAGAAGAGAGGAATCGAGGGATACTTGAGGTCAAGTTGAGGAGTAGATAAGAGGAGGAGGGTAGACGAAAGGATAGCCGTAGAGAAGATAAGAAAGCAGAGGAGAGCAGCGTTATACCCTCTGCACCGTCTTCACGATGACTCGCAAAGGTACGTGTGAATATCCCTCTTCTCTCTCACCCATTCAGTTTTTTGTTTGACCTTTCTTAATTCTTCTTTTCGTTGCGCTTGACAAACAAATGGGCACCTTTTTTTTTCCGAAAAATGGCGAAAATCGTGGAAATATCTTGCATTTGGTAGAATGGTTGGTAAATCGTCCTTCTCCCCACCCTATACAACATGAAAGGTGGGGAAAGTAGGTGGGGGGGAGATTCACGAATCTCCCCCCACCTTTTTTTTTTATATAATGCCGAAAATGTCTGATCTATTCGTTGGTTGCTAGGTCGTCAATCTCCCCACCCTGTACCACATGATTGGTGGGGGGAGATTCGTGATTCTCCCCCCATCTTTTTTTTTTTTTTGAAAAATGCAAAAAATGTCTGATCTGTTCGTTGGTTGCCAGGTCGTCAATCTCCCCMCCCTATACCACATGATTGGTGGGGGGAGATTCGCGAATCTCTGCCCACCTTTTTTTTTTTTTTTTATAATGTCGAAAATGTCTGATCTGTTTGTTGGTTGGTAGGTCGTCAATCTCCCCACCCTGTACCACATGATTGGTGGGCCCACCTTTTTTTTTTTTTGAAAAATGCCAAAAATGTACGATCTGTTCGTTGGTTACCAGGTCGTCAATCTCCCCACCGTGTACCACATGATTGGTGGGGGAAGATTCACGAATCTCCCCCAATCTTTTTTTTTTTTGGAAAACGGCGAAAATCGTGCAAAGATCTTGCATTTTGTAGAAAGGTTGGTAAATCGTCACTCTCCCCACCTTGTACGAAATGATAGGTGGGGAAAGTAGGCGGGGGGGAGAGATTCGTGAATCTTGCTGCACCTTTTTTTTTTCCTGATAATGCCAAAAATGTCTGATCTGTTCGTTGGTTGCTAGGTCGTCAATCTCCCCACCCTGTACCACATGACTGGTGGGGGGAGATTCGCGAATCTCCCCCCATCTTTTTTTGTTCGGAAAACGGCGAAAATCGTGCAAAGATCTAACATTTGGTATAAAGGTTGGTAAATCGTCACTCTTCCCACCCTATACCACATGATAGGTGGGGAAAGTAGGTGGGGGCCCTCACCTGTTTTTTTGTTTTGAAAAATGCAGAAAATGTCTGATCTGTTCGTTGGTTGTTAGGTCGTCAATCTCCCCACCCCGTACCACATGATTGGTGGGGGGAGATTAGCGAATCTCCCCCCATCTTTTTTTTTTTGTTGAAAAATGCAGAAAATGTATGATCTGTTCGTTGGTTGGCAGGTCGTCAATCTCCCCACCCGTACCACATGATTGGTGGGGGGAGATTCGCCAATCTTTTTTTTTTTCGGAAAACGACGAAAATCTTGCAAAGATCTTGCATATCGTAGAAAGGTTGGTAAATCGTCACTCTCCCCACCGTGTACGACGTGATAGGTGGGGAAAGTAGGCGGGGGGAAGAGATTCGCGAATCTTCCCCCACCTTTTTTTTTTTTGATAATGCCGAAAATGTCTGATCTGTTCGTTGGTTGCTAGGTCGTCAATCTCCCCACCCTGTACCGCACGATTGGCGGGGGGAGATTCGCGATTCTCCCCCCATCTTTTGTTTTTTTTGAAAAATGCAGAAAATGTCCGATCTTTTCGTTGGTTGCCAGGTCGTCAATCTCCCCACCCTGTACACATGATTGGTGGGGGGAGATTCGCGAATCTCCTCCCATTTTTTTTTTCTCCGGAAAACGGCGAAAATCGTGCAAAGATCTTGCATGTGGTAGAAAGGTTGGTAAATCGTCACTCTCCCCACCCTATACCACATGATAGGTGGGGAAAGTAGGTGCGGGGGGAGATTCGCGAATCTCCCCCCACCTTTTTTTTTTTTGAAAAATGCGGAAAATGTCTGATTTGTTCGTTGGTTGCCAGGTCGTCAATCTCCCCACCCTGTACCACATGATTGGTGGGGGGAGATTCGCGAATCTCTCCCCATCTTTTTTTTTCCGAAAAACAGCGAAAATCGTGCAAAGATCTTGCATGTAGTAGAAAGGTTGGTAAATCTTCACTCTCCCCACCCTATACCACATGATAGGTGGGGAAAGTAGGTTGGGGGGGAGATTCGCGAATCCCCCGCGAATCTCCCCCCACCTTTTTTTTTTTGAAAAAAATGCAGAAAATATCTGATCTGTTCGTTGGTTGCCAGGTCGTCAATCTCCCCACCCTGTACCACACGATTGTGGGGGGGAGATTCGCAAATCTCCCCCCACCTTTTTTTTGTCGAAACACGGTGAAAATCGTACAAAGATCTTGCATTTCGCAGAAATGTTGGAAAATCGTCACTCTCACCACCCTGTACGACATGATAGGTGGGGAAAGTAGGTTGGGGGGGAGATTTCATAATGCCGAAAATGTCTGATCTGTTCGTTGGTTGCTAGGTCGTCAATCTCCCCACCCTGTACCACATGATTGGTGGGGGGAGATTCGCAATTCTCCCCCCATCTTTTTTGTTTTTTTTTAAATGCCGAAAATGTCTGATCTGTTTGTTGGTTGCCAGGTTGTCAATCTCCCCACCCTGTACCACATGATTGGTGGGGGGAGATTCGC